GCCAGTCTTCTGGCTCTTCTTTATGAAATCCCTTCTCGCCATGGGGGGTTTTGTCCTTGATGGCACAATTGCCCATGACCTTTTTTTTTTATTGCAGCTTTATTGAGATATAATTCACACACCATAAAACCCACCCATTGAAACTGTCTAGTGCAATGGTTTTTAATATGTTCACAGAGTTGTGCAACTCTCACCACAATCCAGTTCCAGAACATTCTGATCACTTCCCTTTGAGCAGCCACTTCCATCACTCGCCCAGCCCCACAGCCAGCCCCTGGCACCCATGGATCTACATTCTGTCTCTGGATTTGTAGCGCCTGTCCATGCATATCTAGCGCCGGGCGGGTTTTCAAACCCTTGTGCTGACTTCCAACATTGCAGAGGTCTGCCTTGGTCACACACAAGCCCCCGGGGGTGTTCAGAGCTTGCTCAATCTTTCTCTTTACTGAGCCTGTTTTTACTCAAAACTTTGAAAAAGGAAATCATCTCAGGTAATAGTAGATTAACCAAAAGCTATAATCCCCGCAGTGTCTCCACGGGTCTGGCAACTCCCACCTTCCTTAGTAAGACTGAGCCCTGGCCCGCCCGGGAAACAGAGCCCTGTCCAGGTAGTGTGGCTCTGGCAGGCTCGGAGAAGGCAGGGCCCCAATCAGGCTTTGGTTTCACAAAGGTTGCTTTGTCTGGAGCATGTGGGGTGGGGGAGGAGGGCAAGGCTCCAGAAGGGAGACCCTGTCTGCTTCATCCCAGCACCAGGCCCGAGCCCCGCTCATGCAGGCGCTCTGTCAATGAGGGAAGGAGGCAGGGGGCCAGGAGAGTGGGGGTGAGGGATCCTCCAGAGGAAGGTGTTTGGGGCAGGAAGGAGCGTGTCATGGTCACTCTTCAGAAACAGGATTGACCTCCCACCCCAAATTTGGTTTGGCCTCGGAGACTGAGGGCACCGCCCCCGCCAAGAGGTTACAGAAAGATTCCTTACTCACGCGCTGAGGCTTTCTGGGGATAGTGGGGCAAGTCCCCAGCCTGGCCAGAAAATGACTTGGGAGGGCACAGCGAGGAGACTGGCCGGGTTCTTTGTCATGGCTTGTGCTAGGGCAGAGGTGAGGGCTCCTGCGTGCGGTTTGAACTCCCCTCTGGTGCCAAGGAAGGGAGCACTCCAGCTTTCTCCGGAGTTTGCCCAGATGTGGGGCACAAGGGGACAGGGAGGGTGAGGCTTCAAAGCTGTCAGCACTGAGAATTTAAAACAAGGAGCAACCGGTGCTGCTGGATGGAGGCAGCTTGGAAGCAGCACGTGACCTTGGTGGGCGCCAGGGTCTGAACGCGCCCCTCCTCTGAGCTCACAAGGTGTGACCCTGATGCTCTGGGCTGGGGCCACCTGATCAGGTCCAGAGGGCGGAGCCTCAGGAATGGAACCAGTACCCTTATCAAAGAGACCCCGGAGAGCTCGTGTGCCCGTTCCACCGTGGGAGGCACAGTGAGAACTTCGCTTTCTGCAAACCGCGAGAGGGTTCTCACCAGAGCCCACCCATGCTGACACTCTGATCTTGGATTTCCAGCCTCCTGACATTTGAGAAAGAGATGTCTGCTGTCTATCCGTCACCTAGCCTGTGGTATTTTGCTCTAGTAGCCCAAGTGGGCTAAGATGAGGGTGGTGTGGGAGGGGGGACAGTCTCACCCAGCGGGGGCCAGGCGCGGGGGGGGCAAGGGCGGGGCAGGCAGCAGGCTGTGGAGTTCAGGACACATGTGGCTTCAGAGCTTGCATAGTCGAGAAGGGTGGGAGGGCAGAGGGCAGTGGAAATGGGGAGGTGGTTGGGACAGCCAGTGGGGAGAGATCGGAGGCCCAGAAGGTGTTTGTGGAGAGCTGGGGAGAGGTGGGGAAGAAGGGGTGACAGTGGAGTGAGGTTCTCAGGTTGCAAGAAGGTTCCGAGGACACACAACAGGACTGGACTTGGATGAAGGGGCTCCTCATGACCACCCTAGGGCGAAGGCCACTGGGGAGGAGGTGGGCAGGGTGAGCACTTTGGAAATCCTCCCCTGTCCTTGAAGACCAGTCAGGCTTTCCAGTGGCCCGGCCTCTGTACCCCAAAGGCCCCTCCCCGTTCTCTGCTTCATCCTTTGTGCTTCGGCCTGAGCCCCGGCTCGCTCCCTCGCTCATTAGGTGAGGAGGAGGCCGGCTGTACTCAGTGGGAGGTGCACAATAAAGGTTAGATAAGGCGGCCTTGGCAAATACCATAGAATCCCCTTCCCATAGAATTGTCCGCCCCTCCTGTATTGATCATCTTCTCCGTACAGGGCCTGGAGATAATCCCTGGGGCAAGGTCAGGGGATGGTGGGGGCGGTGAAGGGGGGCGGGGGGATGCCACCTTTGGGAGGTGTGACAGGAAGGGAGGGCCCATGCAGTGGGTGTGGCTTGATGGTGGGAGAGGAAGCCCTGCCTAGAGGTTTGCTGGCTCCCACTGGTGGCTAGTGAATTATTCATTTGTCAACCACCTTGTCCAGGCTGCTTGCCGGGAGGGTGCCCTGTGACCCAGGGTTTTTAAAAATTAATGTGTTCATTGAGTCATTCCCTTGACTCACGTTCATGGGCGCCTGTTACTTGCTGAGCCCAGATTCTTCACACCACAAAAGGCCCAGGGCGGGGAGGAGGAATTCAAGCTGTGCTGTTTAACCTGCAAACACAGGGGGTGGAGAGGTGACAGGCAGGCCACTGGGCCAGGGCCCGGAGGGAAGAGTGAGTGAGACGACTTGGGCGTGTGGACGTGTGTGCGTGTGGTGCGGGGATTGCCCGATGTGTGTGTACATTTGCATGTGAGTGTGGGGAGGGGTGTGTGTGTGCTGGTGCTCTGGGTGGTCTGGGTTTCAGCCTTGGCTGGGGGACAGCAGTGACAGAGTGCTCAAGGCATGACAGGTGTTAGCACAGGGGCCTCGGGGCCCCGAGTCCCTCCATACATATGCACATGGGTACATGTGGGCAAGCACGCATGTGCGCGCACACGCATGCACCCACACACGCACAGGTACTCAGCCCAGAGGCCTGGGCCTTGCCTCAGACAGGGAGTCGGGGCGAGGGGTTTGGGGCAGGAATCCCTTCACTGGGCAGAGCTTGTGTGAAGACCCATAGGCGGGAGGTTATAACTTCCAGGGAGTTGCACAAGGGTGTTGCCATGAGTGGCACAGTGGTGAGATCTGAGGTTGGTCAGTTGACAGGGTGACTCCCTGAGAACTGGCATGTTAGGCTAAGGCCTCAGCCTTCTCCTGAGTGTAAGGGGTTCTGGGAGATGGGAGGCAGGGCAGAGCCCGTCAGGCTTACATTTTAGGAGGCTCGCTCTGGCTGGCGGCTGGTGTTCCGGGCCAGACGGTGGCCCCCTAGGTTGTGATCCCTGGAAGCTGGGATCGGTGAAGAGTCTTTGCAGATGTGATCAAGTGAAGGGTGCAAGCTGAGATCACCCTGGATTTCCTCATTGGCTCTAAATGCAGAGACAAGTAAGAGGGGAGACACAGAGACACACAGAAGGGAAGGCCATGTGACAGCAGAGGCCTGCAGTGACATGGCCACGAGCCGAGGAACACCTGGGGCCACCAGCAGCTGGAACAGGCAAGGAAGCATTGTCCCCTGCAGAGAGAGCGTGGCCCTGCAGACACTTGGATGTTAGACTTCCGGCCTCCAGAGCTGTGGGAGGATGAGTTCCTGTTGTTTTCAGTCCCTTGCTTCATGGTCATTTTGTTACAGTGGGCACAGGAAGCCAGCCACCATGGCTGGCGTGGAGAAAAAGACTTGGGGGGAGTTGGGTTGGGAGAGGGATGGGGGAGTGGAGGAAGGAGACAAGGCAGTCCTGGGTGGGTCAGGAGGTAGAGCCATCAGGACCCTCACTGGGGTCCAGTCACCCTGGTGGAAGAGCTTGGGAGCAGTGCCTTTTCCTCTCAAAGTTCGCAGCTCTCTCAAATCATAGCAACCATCCGATGATACCGGAATGACCCGGATGACTGGGTCATTAGTTTGGGAGTCCCTCTGGTGCTCTATATCCCTAATGCCTGACGTGGGATACCCTGCTTGTGGAAGGCACACGGACGAAGCGTCCGATGGCATCGTGAGCTGGATATTCAACAACATTCATTCATTTAAGCTCCTAGTGTGCGTCAGCCTGGGAAGGTGAGCAGAAGCCAGATCACCAAGGGATGCAGAGGAAAATCCCAGAGGCAGGACCCCACAACACACTCGCTCTTCGCACAGGTCCTCCGGGGCTCGTCCACCTGTCTGCAGACGCGGCAGATGCGAACGCGGGCACTGAGCCACAGGATTTCTCCCGCTGGGAGTCGCAGACCACTCACAGGCAAGCGCCCCTCGCCCCGGGAGCTGGCAGTCCCCACCGGCCGTCCCAGTCCTAAAGCACGCTGGGCCACCAGCCTGGAGCGACGCCCGAGTGGGACCGCAGGGACTTGCCGCTAAGATGCCCGGGGGTGCCCGTGACCTCGCTGCGCCCTAGCGACGCAGCCCAGCCAGTTCCGGCCGCGGGGTACCCGGCCGGCGGCTCCCGGGGCCGGGCGTAAGCCCCCCAGGGACCGGCCGGCGGTTCTCAAGGGCGAGGCGCGCGCCGTTCGGGGGCAGGTCGGCCGCCAGCCAGCCAGCCGCCGCCCGGCCGAGTCCGCGTCTGCGCCGGCGCCGGCGCCTGCGCGGAGCCGCGGAGTCATTTCCCCCGCCGCCGCCCGCCAACCCCGGGCAGGGAGCTGGGAGGCGGGGCGGCGCGGGCAGGGGCGGGCCGGCGGGGCTGTGGGGCGGCGGGGCGGGGCGGCTGGCCGCGCCCGCCGCGAGGACCCCCGGAGCCGGTGGCCGCGCGCTGGGGCCCCTTTTCCTTCTGGCGGGGGGTCCCGGGCCGCGGGCCTCATGGAGGCCGTTGGCCTGGACAGTTGCGGAGGGGGGTGCACGGCGCGGGGTGCCGAGGGGCGGCCGGCACCCGAGGCGAGGGTGCACTTCCGAGTGACGAGGTTCATCATGGAGGCAGGTAACCGCGCTGGGGAGAGGCCCGGCCTTGCGGGAACCCCCTTCCCGGAGCAGGGGACGCGCAGGACGGGCAGCGGGCGCGGCTGGACGGGGTGGGGGCGGGGAGAGGCCCGGCTCAGGGGTGCAGGCCCCTGCTTCCCGCCGCGCCCTGTGTGCTAGGCTTTGAGCTGCGAGGAGGACACACACGGTCACTACCACCTCGCGGACGGGCGCGCGGGCCCAAGGAGAGGACGTGGACAGGGACTGGCGCGAGCGACAAGGTGGTCGAATCCCAGCGCCCGCGGCTTGCTGCCCCCCCTCCCCCGCGCCTTCAGGCACATCTGTCTCCCCGCGCCCTTGGTCTCGCGGAGCCTTTCGGGGGCCGCCGTTGGTGAGGCTCATGACGGGCCCCGTCGGCGAGGTCCCGTCCCAGCGAGGACCCAGGCGGGGTGCCGCTCCGGTTCTGAAAACCCTTTCCAGGCTGTGTTCACGGAGGTGTTGGGTGCCCCTGCTTCCAAGGCGAGACAATGAAGCGAATCGGATCCTGTGGAAACACTGTATCTCTCTCTGGCAATAGTATCTGCTGGGGGCGGCCGGTTACTTTTGATCTTTGTTACTTTGTGCACAGTCTGTGCCAGCGGGCTTTGGGCGAGTCGGCTTTCAAGTCCAAGTCGGCCGTCTGGGGGAAATGATGCAGGACCATTAAGCCCAGGGATGTGTACATTTAATTTCCAGGAAGTTGCACGAGGTCCGAAGAAGGATGGCGGTGGCCTCCCACAGGCTGCCATGCATCCGCTTGGAGGGTCCATGTAAACCAGGGCAGCGTGCTGCCCTTTGAGGACTTGCTACATGAAACAGGGCTTGGAGGGTCATGTGCAGCTATGGCTCCGTATCTGACGTCTCGGGACTGAAGAGTCTCGTGTAGGAACTGCCTATGTAACTGAAGTTTAAACCTTGACGTGCTAAAAGCTCTTCCAGGTACCACTCTCCAAGGACTTCTTTATAAAATGTGTTGCATATGCCCCTGCTCTCTGTGTGAGGCCAAACATGGGTCCTCCAAAGATGACCCCATCCTAATCCCCCGAACCTGTGACCCTGTGACCCTCTGACTGTACTCCATGCAGCAAAGGAGATTTTGCAGCTGGGATTAGCATCTCGATATGGGGAAACTACCCTAGATTATTCACTGGGCCCAGGATAATCTCACCTATCACATCCTTGGAGGTAGGAGTGACTGGCAGAGTGGAAGGCTGTGGAAGGCCGTGGAATGAGGGAAGCAGAATTAGAAGATGCTCCCCCTGCCTTTGACAAGGGGGGCAGGGGCCACAAGCCAAAGACTGCAGGATGCCTGGAAGCTGGGAAGGGCAAGGAAGCATTCTCCCCTGGAGGCTCCAGAAGGAACCGACCCCCACCCTGCCCACACCTTGAATTTAGACCCCTAGGACTCATTTCAGACTTCTGACCATGAGGACTGTAAGAGAAACAGTATGTGTCATTTGTGGTAATTCACTGCAGTAGCCCCAGGGAACTAAGGCACCATGGGGAGAGGATATTGACTGTAATCTTTTTTTTTTTTTTAAGATTTTATTTATTTATTTGACAGAGATCGCAAGTAGGCAGAAGAGAGAGAGGAAGCAGGCTCCCTGCTGAGCAGAGAGCCCAATGCGGGGCTCTATCCCAGGACCCTGGGATCATGACCTGAGCTGACGGCAGAGGCTTTAACCCACTGAGCCACCCAGGCGCCCCTATTGACTGTAATCTTAATGACTTGGTTGCCCCCCACTTCTTTCAGTCTGTTGGATGTCATTTAACCTTCTCTTGTTATCCCTGGTCACTGTGAATTTATATGGGTTCTGTTACCCCAGTGCAGTGATTTCCTTGGGAGCCGTCCAGAGCTGAGATGGGGTGGGCTGGGGCGTGGGTTAAACGGTTAAATCAGACCACCACGGGTTCTGGTTTTTGAGCCATTCCCTTTTCTGTGTGTCGCTCTTCTTCCCTGGTACCTGCGGGGGCCGTAGGTTTTGCTTTGTTCCTGCTCTGCCTGCAGTTGCAAGGAAACCGGGGCCGAGTATAATCTTCAGTTGTAACCCTGGGACTCTGTGGTGTCTGTTCAATGCAGGATTTTTGTTCCGTGAGCTGTGGGAGTGAGGGTGACCTCTGGTTAAATGGTTTCTGAGGCAGAAACAGACACACAACAGTGTGTGGTCCTTTCCAGAATGTTGTGCAGAGGCTGACATGCCAGGTGTGACCGGGAGGGCTTGGCAGAAGTGTGGGGTCTGCAGTGCTGCTGGAGGGGACCTGCATTGGAGCACGAACCCCGGCGGCTTGTCAGCCCCGTAGAATCGGAGAGGCCTGGCTTGAAACCTCTCAGATAGAGGACCCAGTGCAAGACTCAGCAGCCGCGGCCAGCCGGGCTCCGGGCTCCTGGTCCTGTCTGAGCAGGGCTGTATGCCCTCAGGGCCCCACTCCGCAGCTGCAGCCCTGCTCCGGCAGAGGGTGAGCCTGGCCTGAGCTCTCCCGCCTGCTTTCTCTTGGTAGGAGTCAAGCTAGGGATGCAGTCCATTCCCATCGCTACTGCTTGTACCATTTACCATAAGTTCTTCTGCGAGATCAACCTGGACACCTACGACCCCTACTTGGTCGCCATGTCTTCCCTTTATTTGGCTGGCAAAGTGGAGGAACAGCACCTGCGCACTCGGGACATCATCAATGTGTCCAACAGGTAATAGCTTCCAGGCCAGGCCCTTTGGGAGGACTCACTGGTGTTCACCCAAGTGGGAGGGCAGAGAAGGGTCCCGCTGAGCCCCGACCTCCAGTGACAGCGGTCAAGCTCAGAAGGAAGGCCAGGGTGGTCCTGAGCCAGGGCGAGAAGCATGGCAGCAAAGGCAGGCGCGTTCCTGTGTCACAAATGGGGTGAGTGGACGAGAAACCGGGGCTGGGTTAAGGGATGTCTCAAAGGCCCGAAAGAGTGTAGGGGAGCTGGGGTCCTGGGGAGGGGAGCTTGGCTAGAACATAGGGAGCTTGGAGAGATGTGTCAAGATTCGTCTGGAGTTTTGGGCAGGATGGATGGAACCAGTTGTGTTCTGTGGGACCCGCAGGACCTTCCCAGGCAGGGGAGGGTGTGGACCCAGTTGGGCAATTATTTTATTAAAATGGTGTGGGAAACCAAGTCAGAATCGCTAACAAGCATCTCTTGCCTGGTGTGGGCATGGTGCTCTGTGGGCAGCCCCCGTGGGTCCAAGCAGCTGTGTTCCTATTGGGGAAAGATATGGGGGTCCGGCCAGGCTGCACTGAGACCCAGGGGGCCCAGCAGTTTGTGGAAAGTTACTGACTAGCAGTATGGTGTAACCTTTTTAGAAACTAATCATTAGGAAAGAAAACTGTTTTGTGCTGCTTCTCTTTTAATCAACAGGTAACAGAAAGAGCACTCCCTGCCCCCTAAGCATGACAGGTTCATAGTGTACCATGAAAGCCTAAGAGAAAAACTGGAGAGGGAACCAAGGGAGAGCCGCAGGAGTCCACCTGTAATTGCCAGGTCCCCGGCAGGGGGTGCTGGTAGAGGGGAAATTGTCTGGACCGCTAATTAGACAGGAGCACCTGGGTGGGGTTCTGTGGCGAAGTTGCAGAAGGATCGAGAAACTAGGAAGGCTGAGTCATTGGCAGAGAATTTTGATCACTTGAGTGTGAATCCTGTTCTCTTACATCTTGGTGATCATGCGTAGGTGGGAGTGTCATGAATATATATGGCGTAAATAAGGACAGAAGGATCTGGAACAAAGGAAAGACAGTCTGGGAACATAAAGCTGAACTACATTTATTCTTCTGTGTATAGCGACCCCATGACATGTTTTAGGACCTTCCTTGGGCCCAGAGTAGGAGTCCTGGGCGTTGCCATCCTGGGCGGTAAACCCCGTCTCTGATCCCAGCTGACTGTGATGGGAAGCACGATCAGTTCAGGGTGTTAGAGCCTCGGTTCTCCTGGAGCAGTCGCAAAGAGCTCGTCTTTACGCTGGGCATGTTGCTGAGTGCTATGGGACAGCCCATGAGGGCTGAAACGAGAAGCTGGCTTTTTTCCTCTGCTGGTTGCTGTTTTTGTCCTCTGTCGTAGGCCCGTAGATTAAGAGTGACTTCTAAACCCGTCAGTAGAACCGGCCCCATCCACGGCAGAACCCTGGGGTTTGGGTCTGGACGCCAGGGGACTTGGGGGGCTCCCTGGGGGCACCTCCCCAGCCGCCGCGAATGCCGCTGTCTCTCTGCGCAGGTACTTTCACCCGGGTGGCGAGCCGCTGGAGCTGGACTCCCGCTTCTGGGCTCTTCGGGACAGCATAGTGCAGTGTGAGCTCCTCATGCTGAGGGTCCTGCGTTTCCAAGTCTCCTTCCAGCACCCGCACAAGGTACCTGCCGGGGGGAGTGGCAACCTTTTCTAGAGGCGTGAGCCTTTTCGTTCCTTATCCGGAGACGGCCCCCACCGAACGCTCCCAAACATGTGGGCCGCGAGAGGAAGAGCAGAGTTGCAGCCGGACACGGGGCTGCTTGTGCGCCGTGACTGGTCACGTGCCCCGGGTTTCCTCCGGCGGCTCTCATTTCAGCTTCTGCCTTTCGGCCCGCTTGGCTGAGGCCGTGAGCTGGGACCCGTGTGACTCTGCAGCCCCACACAGATCGTGTGCTCAGCGAGCCACAGGGAAGCGGGGCTGCTTTCGTGATGCCCCAGGGTTCCTGTCCCCAAGAGCCGCTCCTCTGCCTCAGAGCTCACATGCCGCCCAGCTGTGCTTCGAGACCCATGAGAAGAGCTGAGTCACAGAGTCTCAGAGTTAGGCGGGCGCACTTTTAACCGCTAAGAGCGCGGAAGCCCCAGTAGAACGGGTTCTGACGGCAGCCGAAGGGATATGTGAGACCCTTGGAGCACTTGGATGTGACACTTTGGGGGCTCCAGGCCCCCATGTGGGCAGCTTGGGAGGGTGGCCTGCAGGGCAGGATGCGGGGGTTGGGACAAGGGGGTTGGGACATGGGTTGGGAATAGGATTTCATTTTGTTTTGAATTGAGACTTGCACTGAGGTGATTATAGATGTGCAGTCGGAGGGAAGAGCGCAGAGATCCTGCCCGAGATGGACACTCTGTGCAGCCTCCCCGAGTGGAAACATTTCGCAGAACTCCAATGTGTCGGCAGGGGTGTTGGCACTGGGGCAACCCCACTGCTCTGCTGGGGACTCTTGGGGTGGCTGGGTGGTCATCTGCACAGTTTCATTCCATATGCCCCTGCATATATCCGCGGCCACAGCTGAACTACAGAGCAACTCCCATCACCACGGCTCCTTACAGTCTCACCCCGGCCTTCTAGACGGCCTTTCTAATCCCGGAAACCCCTGGTAGAGATTTAAAATAGTCGTGTTTCCGGTCGGTCGGTTAGTCGGTCACCTGATGCAGGGGAAGGCAGGAGCTGGCTGGGCTCAGGGTCTGGGGAGGAACAGCACCTGCCAAGGGGGCTGTCGGGTGGGGGAGTGGGGTTCAGCGTTGCCCGAGCCTAGCGCCCTGCTGCTCACGTCAGGTCGGGACGGGGTCTCCGGGAGCCGATGAGCCCCCCTTCCTGGCAGGCTGGGGTCGCATGCGTGTGTGTTCAGGCCTGTGCAGTGGGCTCGTCAGTGTGTTCGTGGGTCGGGCGGTTCAGCAAAGCGGCTGTCTTCCCAGAGCGGGGACAGAGAGCTGAGCTGAAAAGCCGTTCTGAGTCTGCAGCCCAGCACTCCCGGAAATCATGGTCGCCAGTCTTAGTCTGGAAAGCGGGTGTCCTGTCCCTTGGCAGCCCCTGGCCTGAGGCTGGGCACACGGGCGCCGCATTCTGTTTGGAAGACGAGGACGCTATTTCCAGAGCTTACATTGAGTTGGGCAAGGGGATACGCAGAATGGTTTCTTTCTTTCTTTCTTTCTTTTTTTTTAAAGATTTTGTTTATTTACTTGACAGAGAGATCACAAGTAGGCAGAGAGGCAGGCACAGAGAGAGAGAGGAGGAAGCAGGCTTCCCGCTGAGCAGAGAGCCCGATGCGGGGCTCGATCCCAGGACCCTGGGATCATGACCTGAGCCGAAGGCAGAGGCTTAACCCATTGAACCACCCAGCCCCCCCCCCTTTTTTTAAGATTTTATTTATTTACTTGACAGCAGAATGGTTTCTGACGGCGGCTAGAGCAGGGCCAGGTGACGGAGAGGGACTGTGGTAGGGGTGGCCATCGCGAGAGGCTCGCGCAAGTTCCAGGAGCTGGGCCAGGAGTTGAGCGTGGGTGGGCACCCGGGCCCGGGGCCAGAGGGAGAGACCATTTCAGGCAGAGGGAGCCACGAATGCCAAGGCCGGAGGGGTTAGCGAGCTCAGCCTGTTTAAACGCGGTGGGAAGGTGGGGCAGCACAGGGTTTGGAGGCCAGTGGAAGGCACTGGGGCTTTTATCTAAGGGACCCAGGGAGCTGTTGGAGGGCTTGAACAGAGAGACGACTTGATCCGGTTTGTGTTTTATTCCTATTGAGACAGCTTAGGGGCAGAGTGGCGGGTGGGCGGTGGGGTGGGGGCACAGTGCCTCCCAGCAAGGAGTCAGGTGTCCTGGGGGCTGGAGCCCCAAAGGCCCATTGGCTGACTGGTGTGTCTTTGCAGTACCTGCTCCACTACCTGATTTCCCTCAAGAACTGGCTGAACCGTTACAGCTGGCAGCGGACCCCCATTTCCGTCACTGCCTGGGCCCTGCTGCGGGACAGCTACCACGGGGGGCTGTGCCTCCGGTTCCGGGCTCAGCACATAGCCGTGGCAGTGCTCCACCTGGCCCTGCAGGCCTATGGGGTGGAGGTGCCCGCCGAGGCCGAGGCCGAGAAGCCATGGTGGCAGGTGAGGTGACTGCTCAGTCTGCTGGTGTGTCCCCCTTTCCTTCGCCTGAGGACTCGTCCATGTTTCTTTGTAGGCACTGTCCAGGAAGGACGATACGGGCTGCTTAGCAATACTGATGCTTGAACACACCCCGTCATGATTGTCTAAGGCAGGGGCTCTCCCCCTTGGCACCGTGGACGTCTGGGGCTGGATCGTTTTCCATGGCGACACCATCCTGTGCTGCCCGGTAGACGCCCCAGTCGTGACCGTCAGAGATGTCTCCAGACCTTACCGAGTGTCCCAGGGTGGGGGTCAGCCCCGGCTGTTGAATTGAGTGGGAGCTTGCCACAGATCTGAGGTTTCGTAAACTTGGATTCACATCGGAAGAAGTATAGGGGATCCTCTGAAAAGATGGGTTCATCATGGACAGGCAGATAGATGATAGATGGACTGGTAGCTGACAGAAGGATAGAGGGGTGGACAGACAGATGGATGATAGAAGATGATTGGCGGGTGGATGGCTAGATGGCAGACGACGAGGCTAAAGGTCACGAGATGGGCCGGCCTCCCACAGCACCGTTGGTAGAGCACGAGTCTGGGGGAAGGGCTGCCCTCGAGCTTCCCTGAGGAGGCCCCAGTTTCTCACAGTGGAATTTTGAGACCATTTCTGGTTTTCCCTTCCCCGTGCTAGACCTGAGTCTAGTTTGCTCTTCCTTTCGTGTAACACCTCGTAGTCCGGCCTGGCCCTGGAGGAGGGTCTCTGTGAGCGCTGCCTGCAGTCCCTGAGGGTTTCTCCTCCTTGGGCGCCCTCCCTCTCTGGACAACCACCAGTGGCCAGAAGTCTTCTAAAAGGTGTCCTCTGTTTCCCGAAGAGAGGGGGCCCTCCTGGGTCTGCTCCTGGCACCCCTGCCCTTCCTGCAGCTTGTGGCTCCCATGGTGGCCCTCCTTTCCCGGCATTCCTCCCCCGGCGGGCCCTCTGCGGAGACCCGGCTCCTCCCGCTGTTCGTTCTCTTATCCTTCACTGTCTGTCCAACCCCTTCAGCTACCCAAGGTAGCAAGCGCCGGGAGGTCAGGGATTTTGTCTGCTTTATCAGCCGCCCTAGGCCCAGTGCCTAGACCTGGCACATAGTAGGTGCTTGTGTGTCTTCGAGCAGACACGTCTGTGGCCCTGATCTCAGGTGAGACACACGTGCTCTGACAGCATGGGGTTGAAAGGGGTCTGCGTAGACAGAAAGTAGTGCTCCGTGCTGGGGTTTCTTGGGGACTTCCAGATCGTGTGACCATAGTGTTTTGGCTCTATGGGTGGTGGCAGAAGGGGCTGCCACTTCCCGGCCCTGCTCTCCAGGGGTGTGTGGTGGGCATGGCAGCCCCTGCCATCTTGGCTGCTTGGATCTGCGATTTCATCCCTCTTTCCCATTGTCTGGCTCTCCTCTGTGTGTCTGCCTTTCTGCTCTCCTTTCCTTTCCCCTGCTCCTGAGCGACCCTGGTCACCCCCTCACCGCCTCTGCCTCCCACTCCCTGCCCTCAGCAGGGGCGGTGCTGGGAGGCAGCCACCGCAGGCAGCCACCTTTCTGGGCAGCACCGGCTTACAAGTGATTGTTAAGACTGGGAAGGGGTGGGGAGGACTCGTTTCCACTCAGCTCTTCACCTTTTCCGCCTGGCTCTGGGCCATTTGCACCAGGAGCATCCAGAATTGGGGGGCCTTTTGGGTTTGTGATGTGCAAGGACCAGTTGCCTTACGAGAAATGGCTCTGGATGATGCCTCCTTCACCGCCCCCCCCAAACGCCTGCCCGCCCACCTGGCCCTGGATGCTGATGTCTGAGTTGGGAAATACTTTTCCTCCTTGTTCGCTCTCCTCCTTGCTCGCCACTCCCTGCAGCAACCGCCTCTCTGTTGTCGTCCCTTGTCCCCCGGGGGCTGGGGCTTTGCCATGCTGGTCAGGAGCCTTGGGAGGAGAGCGTGAGTGCGTCTCACCAGAAGCCTGCGGGTACTCGAGGGTGAGAGGGGCAGGCCTTTGTCCCAAGCTGTGTGGGGCCTCCGGGTGGACGAAGTACTGACTCTGGAGCGGGGGTCAGATGTCTGTCCTTATGGAGGCTGAGCACTGTTCCGTGGTACGGATGGGCCACGTTGTGACTGTGCATTCCTCCAGGATGGACTCTCAGATTGCTTCCACCTTTTGGCCTGGGACTACTTTTTAAATCTTTTCTTGGCTTGAGGTCCCCAGGAACACACAAGGAGTGAACCTTGGCAAGCAAGCCCAAGCCTGTATTTTGGAAGCATTGATTTTCCACCTAGAGTCTGGGGTGGGAGGGCCGATCTTCACGGCCAGGGTTTGGGATTTTCGGGCCACAGTTCCCTACCTGTGGCAGTAGCTTATGGAGGGCCCCGGATTTCTTTGGTGGCTGTGGAGGGGGTGGGCTCACATCTAGTTTTTGCCCTGGCTTGACCCAAGGTCTTGACCCTACTGGTACCTTGGTTCCCCAGGCAGCAACCCCTGGGCCCAGGAGGCCACAGCATCTAACCGAGATCTCCTTGTTGTGCTTTTTATTTCCCATGTCATCAGGGGCCCCCGAGAGCACCCGCAGGCTCGATGCTTCACTAGGAGGGCTCGCAGAACTCAGAAGAGCCGTACAGCGGCTCCTGGTCACGGCCATTGTGGTCAGTGACAGTGGAAGCACACAGTTCGGAATCGGCAAGGATGCAAGGAGCGTAGGGCGGGGGGCCGGGACAGACCAGGCGGGGGCGTGGGCTGGGCCGTTTCTCCCGCAGCCTGGGGTGACAGCCTGCCCCGGGCCCCGCCACCAGGGAGGCCTCTCTGAGCGGTGCTGTCAGAGGACTTGAGATCGGGGTCAGTCCCATGGGCCTGGAGCTCCCATGGGGCTGACCTCGGATGCTCATCTCTGCCCCCTGCCCCCTCCCCGGAGGTGAAGCTAAGAGGTGTGGTCCAGCTCCGCCCCCCGGGGGACTGAGACCCTCTCATGGGGCAGGACATCCTGGGGGCCAGAGATCCTTTCCCCAGGGCTGGGCAGGGACCAAAACTTCCTTGGGAACATGTGGCGTTCACCCTGAGCTGCACACCCCTCTTGGTTTGGGCCCCTAGGGGTTCACCTGATGATTTTATAAGCTCCGCAGCACAGTCAGGAGCCTGGCTGGTCTAGGCTGTGGAACAGATGCAGGTGTGCTCCAGGGCCAGCCCGGGGTGGAGTGCCGTTCAGTGGTTTAGCCTGTTTACTTCTGGAAATGAACCCCTGGCCCAGCTCTGTCACCAGCCCCCTGTCCTGTCTGGGCAGATGATCCCCGAGGCCTTTTCCATCTGGAGTGGTCTCTGCTTTGTGGTCAGCAAGGCTGGAAGCGGACGGGCTTTGCAGAGAGCTGCCGTCATGTCTGATCGCCAAGCCTCTGTGCCATCCCCTGTACAGTGCAGTTCGGCGATTAGTGGCGGGTACCTTGTTTCTCACAGAGGGAGTCTAATCTGAACCTGTTTTCCTTCTCCTTTCTAGGTGTTTAGTGACGACCTTACCAAGCCAATCATTGATAACATTGTGTCTGATCTCATTCAGATTTATACCATGGACACAGAGATCCCCTAAGGCCCTGGTCCAGGCCTGCCCCAAGAAGCCCGGGATGCTCGGCTGCCTGGGGACGGCATCACCACGTCGCTGTGACGGCTGGTCCCCAGAAGACCAGCTGGGAGGACTGGTTTTGTGCTGCTGGAGACGGGCTGGTGAAGGCGATGACCTGCTGCCACTCTGATTCTCATGCTGACTGTCCCCGGCAGCTGTGGTCCAGACGGTGATGGGCACTGTGCCTCCTGCGGGCAGGCCGGGGTGCACCAGGGGAAGGGCCCCCCCAGGCATCCGTGTCTGCTTCTGTCCTTTGAGAGGACGCTGACTGCAGTTGAGGTGTGACGTCATTGGAAGCAAAATCAAAGAACAGACGAGACTGACTTACCCTTGGGGATTTTTTAAAGCCAGATTTATAGGAAGTATGAATGTGCAACACAGATGGAATTTTATTTTGTATAATAAAAGATGATACAAATCATCGGAGACGCCCTGTCTTTGCTCTGTGGCCCAGGCTGCTCTGGGGGCTCTCCAGCCTCGGTTTCCCCAGAAGTGCTCTCCCTGGATGGAATTGCCCCTTGTGCCTCCACTGCTTTCTGAGGCCCTGGTGTCTGAGTGTGTGCTCACATCCTGGTGGTGATCCCGAAGGAGTCCCCATGTCCTCACTCCTCCACTGGGACATCTGCAGAACTTGGCGCCCGTCCCATTCAGTGAGCGAGCATCAGTTTTGGAGAGAGGGACTGGGGAGCATCACTTGGGTTCCCCAAACCCAGATCTGACCAAAATGTAACTAGAAAGTACTTGACAGTTTTTTCTTAAGTGTGAAGCCAGGGAGTCTGGACGGAGAGCCTGGAGAACCTTGGCCATGACACACTCCTGACCCACTCAAAGGGCAGTTCTTCCAGAAGACCTGCTTTTGGGTGCGTTAGAGAAACAGAGCAGCCTAGGTTGTTGTGGGAGCTGGCCAGAATGCCGGGGTCCATCCGGCTGCCGCCGAATGCTCGTCTCCAGTGGAGGAGACACACGGAGGTGTCCCACACTGGTCACAAGTCAGGCAGCCTGGCTTGCTTGAGTTTGCTTAGCAACCGTCTTCTTTGTCTTCAGGATGAGAGATCGGAGTAAATGTCCACTCTTCTACTGTGTCCTTTCCATATCTGTTCGCCCAGCGCAACTGGGAGCTCTTTGAGGACAAGGCTGGTGCTCGGAGCCGGGGCTCTGAGTGCAGAGCGGGTGGCGAGGAGTTAGGCCTCTCTCTGGGAGCAGCTCTGGCTCTCACTGCTCCTTTCTGTCTTCCGCTATTTAAAGAGGACCTTTTCTGCCTCGTGCGCTTCCTCTCCACAGGCTGGGCCCCTGCATCGCCCCCTGGACCCCAGCCTTGCCCGTCCCACCCTGACCTGGCGCTGCCCTTGGCCAGTGCCTGTTGCTGGTCTGAATGGAATTGGGTAACAGATGTTTCACTTTTGGATTCTCTGTCTTCTCTCCCCTGACCAGATCACAGGCAGACAGAATGGCAGGCAGAGACAGAGGGAGAAGCAGGCTCCCCGCCAAGCAAGGAGCCCGATGTGGGACTCGATCCCAGGACACTGGGATCATGACCTGAGCCGAAGGCAGCTGCTTAACCAACTGAGCCACCCAGGCGTCCCTAGATCACAGGCTCTTATAGAAGCTTCCATTTCTTCGGCTCTCTTAAGGTTGAGCCTCCAGAGAGGCAGCCTGCCCCCACACACTTGATGCGAGGTCATTTGCTCAGCTCTCAGAAAGCAGAGCGCCCTGCCCTGGTGGGAGGGCTGGGTGGAGGGTATGGGAGAACCCTCTGGAGAGTTCTTTCCAGATGCGCTTGTTCCCGTCTGTTTGCTCCCCACCCCTGTCCCAGGACTTACCAGAAAGAAGGGAAGACGGCTGACTAAAGCTCTCTGGGGATTTGGTGAACATCCCCGCCCCCGGCTTGAGGGCCCCATTTCCGAACCGGGAAAGAGTGGCTCCGGAGGCTCTGGTCTGGGGTTCGGGGCAGGCTCTAGAGATTCCTGTAGCTCTAGGTTTCCTTTTATGATGACTGCATAGCAGACCCCTTCTTTTCTTTCTATGGGACTCAGTTTCCCACTTTGTATATAGAGCAGGTTGGACCAAATGATCCCAGACTGGGATTGCTGATCACTCGTTTCATTTTTTATTTTATTTTTTTCTGATTGCTATTTTAAAATCCCTTAACCCACCCTTGTGCCTGTCGTGCTGCTCGGTGGGACTTGCAGGCCTCGCATGCTGGCCTCCGGGCCTGTCCTGTCAGCACTTACCCCGTGGGGGTTGTCTCTGTTTCCCTGATGCAGCCGGGGCCGGGAGCTCCCCCTTCTGCGCCATCATCATCATCATCGGGAGGGAGATGGAGGAAAGGCGCTGGTCAGCAGTGAGGGGTGGTGATGAGATTTCCTAAAACCCAAAGCTTCCAGGAGCTTCTTAGTCCAGAGCACATCTTAATTACTGTAAAGTGATAAACGGGTGGAAGGAGGGGGCAATCCGGGTTCTATGAGGAACTTGGCTGGTCTCTTCCTTTCCAGCCACGGTTGAGTGAATGGTGTCCCTGAAAGGATGTGTCTCTGTCCCAACTCCTGGAACGTGGGGATGGGTCCTTGTTTGAGAATAGGTTCTCTGTAGCTACTGTCAGTATGCGGAGGGAGGAGGCGGCAGGCCCGCGGTGGCAGGAGGAGTGGCGCCCACCAGCCAGGGCAGGCCAAGGACTGTGGCGACCCCAGCCGCTGGAAGACTCAAGGAAGGATCAGCCCCCAGAGCCTTCGGGAGGGGGAGGGCCGCCCTGCCCACACCTGGATTCCTGCCTTCTGGCCCCCGGAGCAGGGGGTGGGTGACGGCCTTGTTATTTTAGGCCCCCGCCCTGCTGCCCCCCTCCCCGCCACCACCATTGTCAACTCCTACCGGGCCTTCCTCAGACTCCTGGGCTGCACCTTTGCTCCCAGGGGTGCTCCTGGGTGGTGAACTGTCGGCCAGCTTTGTGCAGGGATGGGTGCTGTAGTGCTGCCCAGTTGTCTCCCATGGCAGAAATTAGCGATGTGGGGGGGGCGGCGCGTAACACCCTCTGTAAGGTGCCAGCTCCCTGCCCAAGGCGTGGAGCCCCCATCTAGACTTGCTTGGCCTTACGGTTCAAAGTGGACTTCTACCTCCGTGAAGCAAGGGCTCTTCGCTATTTGTTTGTCTGCTGTTTGCTGTTACTGGTCTTTCTGCCTTTTTTAGACATATGGGCTCTGGTGGTTGGGAGGGAACTTGGAAGCCATTTTTCTCCTTTCTTGGCAGCTTCCCTGGAAAAGGCATCCACTGGCGTTGCCAAGTTTGAAGGGGTGATGTGTGGAGTGGCGAAATGGAAACACAGGCAAAGGCGATGTGGGTAGTCTTGGCCTGGTTGCCGTGCTGGTCATTTGCAAGTTTTGGACCAGAGCTGCCTTTGTGGTTCTGCTGGCAGAGTAGAGGGGCTGGGTCGCAGGGCACAGTTGTCCCCCGCTGTAGGTGTTCGAAGGGATGGAGAGGGGAATGACCTGGCGAGCAAGTGAATGACAGAAATAATGGGTTTTCTTTCCCCGGCCTTGCCTTAAAGAGGAATTCTGATTACACCCTTTGTGCACTGCTGCTGGTGGTGGGGTTTCAAATGGTTCAGCCGCTTTGGAAAACAGTTTGGCAGCTCCTCAAAAAATTAAACCTAGCATTACCAGATGACCCAGCAATCGCACTTCTGGATGGAGACCCAAAAGCAGGGACTCAACCAGGTGTTTGTACACCCGTGTTCGCGGCAGCGTGATTCACAGTAGCCCAAAGGTAGAAGCGATCCAGGTGTCCCCTGGTGGATGAGTGGATAAAGAAAATACGGTCTAGCCATACAATGGAATGTTCTTCAGCTTTAAAAAGGCAGGAAGTTCTGACACAGCCTACAAACACGCATGAAGCTTGAGGACGTCAGCCAGTTTCAGTTGCTGTCCGCCTGCACTGCTGCAGGTTTCCGAGAGCGGTCAGACCCCAAGAGACAGAAAGGCCGGTGGGGCATGGGACGAGGAATTAGTGTCCATTGTGAGCAGATTTCAGTTTGGGGAGATAAAAGTGCTCTGCAGACGGATGGGGGGGGATGACTGTACAGCACCGTGAAAGTACTTCACGTCATTGCTTACAACTGGAGCGTGACTTTTATGGTGTATGTATTTTGCCACAGTCAAAAGAAAAAAAAATGTGCATTTGGGTTGGTGGCCCCTGCCCTCACCTTCCTTGGAGGACGCCGGCCTGGACCTTCAGGTGAGGCCCCTCTGGGTCCAGACAGTTAGACGACCGCCATGCAAACCTTCGCTAACAGTGCCTCTGACCCCCTCAGGGCAGGCAAGCCCTTTCTTCCTTTCAGAAGGGTGGACCGGTGACTGCACACCCGGGGTGGAGGGGGGAGCTCTACCATCCCTGGGGCTCATCTCAGTGGTGGCAAAGCAGATGAAGACACCTCCTTTTCATTGCAAATGAGAATTCACCAACTAATAAATCACACATGTTACCCAGACTGGGACTGTAGGAGCCTTTCATTTTTTTTTTTTTTAATACACAGAAATTTTGGTCTATTCTTTAAATTAGGAAATTCAACTACAGACTTTAATTTATTATGCATCTGGTCTTCCTCATTAAGATAATTTTTGTTCATCTTTATAACAGGCAGATAAGAATGTAAAACATATTTAATAACTGAACACAGCTGACCAAGCCATTCCGTATTATATGCTCGATAGAGGGGGGCTTCTTCACAAGATAGGTCCCTTAGCCAGAGCGACAATCGGAGGTCACAGCGCCCCTTTTCTGAACCCCATACCCCAAGGAAAGGCAACCTAGGGACTAAACAATGGACACACACAGGAGGCAACTTTGTACAGCAGCAGTGAGGGCGGTTGGTCTATGCTGACCGTTCGTTCTACTGAGGTGTCTCTAACAGGGAATGAAAAGAAGCCCATGAGCAGAGCATACGCCCCTTATCTTCTTCAGTTGAAAGATTTCCAATTTTATTTCTAGTTTAAGAACACACAGACCCTCAACAGATTGAGTTGCCCTTTTTGTTGTTTAAACAAGGACATTAGGGAACAATTTACAAATGGGTAACATTCTCAATGTGCCCTTTGGAATAAAGGGATGGCTTTAAGTTATCTGTAGCTGGCATTTTAAGTGGGATTTTCTTGTCTAACTGGAACTCCTTTGCCTGAGATTTGACTACTCCTGCTCAGCCTCAGGCCCAAGTGAGAGGCACAGGTCGGGCTTCAACCGCCTCTGGGCAAAACACGAGACAGCCGCGTTCCGCAGGTAAAGGACCCTCTGCATTTTCTGCTTTTCCCTCCCTGGTTAGTGTGCATTCAGGGGAAACTGAGGCTTGGCACCAGGAGTGCCCATACGGCAGGGAGAGGTCCCCGAAGGAACCGTCTGGGGAGCCCAGGCCCAGCTCTCCCGCCCGCAGACAGGGTGCTCCGCCGGCACGGCAAAGCTCACCTCCTCAGCCTTCTGGGCTCATGGGGCTGAGCCACAGGGGCCCCCAGGGGCTCTGCTCCCGCGTCGGCTTCCCCCATGTCCCCGTGGGTGGCTGCACACACAGAGCCACGCCTGCATGGGTCATAGTTGTCCTTTAATGAGTGCTTTGGCAGGTGGTGACTGAGAACTGACCCCAGTCACTTGATGGACCCCTTGGCCCAACTTCTTGGTTGCGGTCACATCAGCTCCTCTTGGGTTTGGACCGTATCTCTTCCTCTGCCACTTTCTGCCTGACTCTTGGTGCTCTCCCCACCCCCATCCCACCTCCGGACCTGGCTCTCCTGGGGCTGCTTCGGGTTCCGGGTTCTCCCGAGGGGGCGGCAGCTGGGCATGGACAAAGAAAGCCCGCCAACCAGAATTCAGGACTTGGAGTTGAAACCGAAGGGCACGAGAAGCAAAACTCCCCTTTCCACCTACCGGAGGGGATCATTCTCATCAATACTTTGGTATTTTCCTTTTAAATAAAAAATTCCACCGAAAGGGCCCCGCTCCCATAGGCAGGGGTCTCAAAGCGCGAAAGTTCCAATTCTAACCGCCCCGGCCTCGTGTCTCTCTCCCTGACCTTCTCAGGAATCTGCACAGCAACACTCCCAGGAACCATGCGGGAGGGAGGACCGGGTCGGAGCACGGAGGCTGGGCGGAAGGTGGGGGGCAGCAGTGGGGGGGGCCAAGCAACTGAAAAGATACTCTCGCAGTCCCGTTCCCTGAAGAAACCCTGCCACAGTAAATAATGAAATTTCCAAAATGAAAACACCTGATAAGAGGAATGGAAATATCATGCTGATAAATAGCTCCTTATTCTTTAAATATGCATCGGGTCATACATGTACGTATATGTCTATACGCACACACACAGCTACACACACACGCGCACACATACAGACCGCACGTGTGTCCTGGGGGAGGGGCGCTCCGTGGTGCAGGTCCGTCTGCGGGCGGCTCCCGGCGGGGAGGCGGGGGGCTGGCGAGGCATCCTGCGCGAACCTGTCGGTCCGCTCACTCTCTGGTGGGTGCGATGCAAGGCCCCATCAGCCGAGCGCAGCGCCCCGCCCCACCGCACAGCCCGAACGGCGAACGTCTGGTGGAATTGTAGTGTTCGTTTAAAAAAAATGCTTCGATAGAAAAAAGGGAAACGCAGCTCTGCTCACGTTCTAGTTTCTCTCTCCTCCTCCTCAGTGCCAGGTAGGAAGCCTCGGGTGGAGCAGCCCCCGCGAGTGCCGCGCGAGCACCCCTGCAGCCGCCTTGGCCGTGCCCTCCTCGCAGGCCCGCGCTGGCCGGCCGCGAGCGCGTGTGTGCGGTGCGTGCTGAGAGCAGTTCCCCTAGAGGGACGTCTCCACGCTGTGGAGCGGGCTCCCGGGTCTGGAAGAAAACGCTGACGAGGTAGCTGACTTGGTGCCGTGCGTGGTCAGGTAGATGCCGCTGTCTATGGCGTTGTTGTTCTGGTTGGGGGCCGGGGGCGGGGGGGCCCGCAGGCGCTCCTCATTCTCGTCCACGTCCGTGTCATCGATGAGCGGGATGTTGTGGGTGTAGTCATTGATCAGAAACTCGGGCGTCGCCATGAAGTTATGAATGGAGGTCTTGGATTCCGGTTTCTCCAGGCCTTCGTAGAGCGAGCTACGGAATGCTTTCACCACCCGGATCTGGAGTGGGAGGTGGGAGGACAGGGGCACGAGGCGGGAGCAGGGAGGGAGGGTGTGAGCAAGGCAGGAAGGGAGGAAGGGGGGAAGGGAGGCAGCCAGGCAGGAAGGAAAGAAGGAAGGAAGGAGACAGTCAGTGGCGCTGGTGCTGGCAATTCCCACCCACGTCAGTGGTCCTTCCACCGGAACGGAGCAACTGGGGCCGCTCTGCCTGGTCGCGCTAAGGGCTCCCAGGACTGGGTCCACGTCTCGTCATCTGATCCACACGCAGGACAAGTGGCAGTGGCTTTCTCTAGGCCGACCCGGGCGGGTATTTCGGAGCTCGAGAGCGATCAGTGTGTGAGACTCTGGGCTATTACCTCCCCTTTGCCAGCCCTGGGAAGGGGAGGACCAGCTGAGGGGGCCCTTGGGCCCTCTGGTAAATCTGAATTCCAATTTCGTGGAACAGGAAGATGATTTAAAACAGGGAGAATGCTGGAGCGTGGCCTCTCCGCTTCCTCCTACCAGAAAGTCCGCAGAACTTTCTGATAAGAGAAATCCCCAGTCTGTGGGCACTTTGCTGGCCTTTCCCAAGCGGGTCTCCCTTCCTGGCTTCTCTATAGACCTCTTCTCTGTCCCTCTGGCTCTCGTGACTGTCACCAGCCCCCATCGTGCCCAGACCCACATGGCCATCAGTCTTCCTGCTGCTATGTTCAGGGGCGACTTCTCTGTCTCCGTTTTATTTGATTTCTCAGGGCACCCAACACAGCTGATGGACCCTCCGTCTGGAAACTCCTCCCGGCTTCCCTGAATTGCCACTGCTGGCCCTACTCCTATATCACTGGGTGCTCAGGCCTTGTCTCCCCCACTTCTCCTTCCTCTGTCTCATGGCGCCCCAGAGCCCCAGCGCTGCTTCATTCGCCCCGGCCCATCTCCCGGCCCTGACCGCCTCCACTGAAAATGGCTCCACTTTTGACCGCACCCACTAAGCCCGTCCTGCTTGGATGCCCTGAGCCAACGCAACCTCATGCCTCCATCAGGCCCCTGGGCGCCTCTGGTTGGTTGTCATTTCCGTCCGCAGACACTTCGGCCTTCGCATGTCCTGCCATCACAGGCATTTTGCAATCTGGCGCTCGTTGCCCCTCCAGCCTTTCTCACCCTGCGCGCTCCTCCTCCTCTTCAATTTCTAAGCCACATAACTTCTTTCAGTCCCTGGAATCTGCCGTATTCTCCCTCTTTTCTAGATCTCGCTTCCTGGCTGCTCCACTGGCATTGACAGAAGAGCTTCCCACAGTGCCCTGGTCCCCAGCTACGGTGGCCCTTGTCCCAAGCCGAACTCGGGCCCCCTTTGCACCCCCCCCCGGCCAGATCTTGCTCCCAGGTCTTTGCTCCCCTCAGTCTCTTCGATCCCACCTTCACTTATATGAGTGTTCACGTCACCAGGTCTACGAGCCACAGAGCTGAGGCCCCCCCTCGTTCCCTCCCTGGTCCCCCTCCACCTGGGCTCCCTCTTGGTTCTAGAAGCTCAAGTTGACAGGAAGGCCTTTGCTGGACCCCGCGTGAGCCAGCAGCAAAGCCGGCTCTTCCCTGTGTGAGTGGGTGGACATAGCATCAGTTCCACAGTCATTTCCACATCAAAGGTTCTAGGACTTGGCTTTCTTGGTTTCGACTAGGTGTTGGCCAACTGTGGCCCACGGGCTAACACAGGCTCTCAGCCCCCACACCCCAACCATTCATTTCTTCATTGGTTCCGGGTTCTCTGAGATCCCAGGGCAGAGCTGGGTCGTTGCAAGAGAGACCTGGCCTTTATAAGAGAAATCTGCTGCCCCCCTAAATGCTGTCACCTAAATGGTGACATTTAGACCATGAATCACACCGCTGACAACGAATCCCCTTGGATCTTCCAGGGCCTGAGTCCTGGAGCTGTCCGAGCGCGGCCAAGCACGGCGCTGCAAAATCAGTTTAAGCCCTGTGAGCCTCGCAGCCCTGTGAGTGCACAAAGTCAGCCAAATCTTACATCTGGCTAGGACTGTCTCTGAATTCAGTGAAGTCACACCTTCTGGATTACAGATGGCCAACGATTTGCCCTCAGTTTCTTAACTCTCCCAGACTGGCTTCTGAGAAAGGGGTAACCCAGAAGTTGACGTGAGAATCGTTCATATTTTTAATGAAAGAGAATTCTTTTGTCATTGCAGATGTGGCCTCATTATTTGGGCCTTTTCTGAGGCCAGCACTTGGTGGGGGGCTCCCAGGATGTTTGCTGCGGCTGGCGCACCAGTGGTGGAGAACCTGCTCCTGCTGTCGGCAGCGCCCCTCAAGCCACAGAAAGGACAGCAAGCCGGATCCTGCTGCCCTTGACCCTGGGCGCCGTTGTGGTAAGTTTGGCAGCAATGATCTGATGATCCCGGCTACACCCTTTCCTCTAGCTGAGCCTGTCCCCTCCTTTGGACCTGGGTCACAAAGTCAGACCCATCTTCAGGACTCCCTGTGCCTGGCTGAACTCCAAAGTGTTTGTCCAAAAAGGGCAGCCAGCCGTTCCCTCTCCAGCTTCTGCAGCTCTGGAATGTTCCCTCAGGGTGCTCCTCCCAAGTATAATCAGACTCACTTTAATGATGGTCTTGTCACTGGTCTGGTCCTGTTGACAGAGACAGAGCATGGCGTAGCCGTCGCTCAGTACCCAAAGCGGGGCCCAGGGCTGCTCACGCAGACCTGTGTCATCCCAAGTCTCTTTCAGGTCCCACTTTCCCGCATTCAAGCCTCGGGCTGTTAACAGATTGCTTGGTATTGGGAGTTTGATGGGGTGTGTTCAGGCCACCCAACCCTGAAGGGCACCGCGACCTCCTGGGATGGGTTTGGTGAGAACCGGTAAATGTTTCGAGAAGAGATGCCTGCCCCGGAGACCCGAGCTCACACACGGGGGGCTTCGGAACGCCCCCACGGCAGAGTTCAGGGGGTCCCAGCAAAAGAGTGACCAAGGCCGAGCGGAAGGAGCACCTCCTCAAGCTGCAGGGGGAGTCCCTCGGGCCATCTCTCCATCTCTGCCACTCCCCAAGGGACCTTGCCACCCTCAAGGCTGTCAGGTCCAGCTTATATACACACCCTTCGTACCCCCTATGTCTGCAGCCAGCCACACCCCTTCCCCGCACTCCCTGCTGTCCCTCATGTCCCTTGGGTGGCAGACGGGTCTATCAGATTGCGGGAGGCTGAAGGTCAGCCCCAGTCTTCCCATCCTCGTGCAGGGCTCTGGCCAAACCACAGAGGCGCCTCGATTCCTGACCCCAGAGCCCTGCCTCAGCATGTCCCATGGCCCCCAGGTCCCCACCCTCTTCACCACGGGGCCCTCTCTGCCTCTCACAACCCCCAAGGGCAGAGACCCCGACTGCCTGCTCTTGCGGTCCTCCCTGGCTCCCGCCTGCGTGGCTCACATCTCCGGGGTCCCTCATAGCCTCCCTCCTCTCTGACTGTCGAATCACACCCACCCTCCCCAACCTGGCTCAGGTGGGGGCCTCCAAGCATTCCAGCAGGCAATGGGGCTGCCCTGGGTCCACTCCGTGTAGTACAGGAGTTCACCGAACTGAACTCCGCCCCCCCCCCCTCCAAAAAAGTCCATTTTACTGTCAGATAACTTAAGAGTAAAAGAAAGACAGGAAAAGCACTTTCCAATAAAGATGCCTCCCTCGGGTTGTAGCCAAGGCGTCTGGGAGACCCAAGGAGGATCAGGTCAGGCTGGGGCGGGAGGGCTCTCTCACAGCTTCCTGTCCCACCCCGACGGAGGCCTGTTGTGCCCCCCATTTCCCAATGTCTTGCTCCTGCACTGCCTGGGCACCTCACCCCTGCACCCACTCAAGGATGTTGTCCCCTCCCTTGCCTAGCTTACTCATTTGTCTTATCTTAAAAGAGACTCTCTTGGGGCCACAGGTCCTTTCCTGACCCCCTGCTCCCCAGGGACCTCCCCATCTGGGAATGCAGTGCTCTTCATGCCACACCCCTGCTTCCCGGCTCAGATGGTTCTCTGCCCTCTCCCCATCTCACATCTGAGGGCCCCAGGGCTCATCTTTGGACATTTTCTCTCCTTCCTCTACAGCCACACATTTCCTAACTGATCTGGTCAGCCAAAGTCTTAACTACCATCTGTCTGCTAGTGAGTCCCACACCTCTATCTCCAGACTCGGGGCTTTGCCAGCCACCTTCCCTTCACCCTCCACCCTGCGCCTCCTCCCTGTCTCCCCGCCCCTGCCCTTTACCTCTGCAGTCTATTCTCTGCAGAGCAGCCCAAGCAATCCTTTCAAACAAAAGCCAGAACTTGTCACACCCTTCGGAGGGTCTAAAGACCCTTTATTTAGAGGTGTCTCCTGCAAAGTCAGGGCCTGCCTCAGGCCATCCTCTTTCTCATTCCTCTTTACTGCCTCAGGCCTTGGCTTCCTGACTGTATGAATACCGAACACCACCTGCACACTCCTGCCTCAGGGCCTTTGCACAAGCGGTTCCCTCTGCTGGGAAGGCTCCTTGCCACTGAGCCTCACGGCTCCCCCTCGCCTTTTCTGTTCAGTCTCAGCCCTTCCATCTCCCGCTGTGGCTCACCTTCAATTCACCACCACCCCCACCATTATTCTCTCCTCTATCTCCTTTCCATAGGCCTTCGAAAACTGGAGTCTGTCCCATTCGTTGACCTCCCCAGCTCCCAGCACCCAGCACAGTGCCTGCAGCCAGCAAGAGCTCAGCGGGCGGCTGCCGGAAGTGCCTCCCACCAGCTAGCTCGAGTCTCCCCCAGCCGCGTCACAGCTGCCCTTTCCCCTGTCTAGACTATGCGTCTGCCAGAGTGTCCCATGTGAACTTTTTCTCTGTCCTCAGAACTTGGCTCACACATCGATCCTTTGGGAGGCTGTCCCAGACAACCTTTCTCTAAAACAGCACCCCCCACCTTTCTTTTGCTCTGCTTTCTTCTCTTCTGCGGCTTGTGACCATCTACACTTAACATGAGCTTACTTCTCCGTTCTTTGCTGCCCACCCTCTGCCCTCACAGG